CCCATTTCTCTCCCATGCTTTCTCTTTAAAAGAGAGCCAAACTTCATTCCAGCGTTTTGTAAATCAGGAAATAATTTTTCTGGTGGACTGATATCTCTCTGACATGCCTGAAAGATCTCCAAATTGGTTCTGATTTGATCTCATTTACCCAACCTAAATTTCAACTAGAGTTCTCAGATGTAGAGAGATACAGCATGAATACCTACAAATTATATACTTTTATACCCATGCACACTCACTCATACCTTCACACCCCATACTTATCATGAAACCGTGTGCCTTTCTTCCTTATGGAGTAAGGTTACTGTCTATCCACCTGTATCTTCACAAAAAAAACTCAGCCAATGACTCAGTGAAAGGTTGAGCATGAGGAACTCTTCTCTCCCCAGCAATGGGAAACAATGAATGCTAATATGCACAAATGTATCCACACTGTTATGGAAGACATTCTCCCAGTTAGAGAAAAACGCTAGTAAGCTATATACCAGATGGGGTTTAACCCCTTATAGGGACATTTGAGCATTTAATTTGGAGTTGTGAGGTGCTTTAATCACTAACAAAAAAGAACCCGTATTGAGAACCTGAAGGGTCAACGGCTCACCCTATCTTTTCCTATTTGTCTATTATATGCACCAATTCTTATCCCAATGAAAAAAAAAAATCTTTATAATCTCTTCAGTGTGATACAATAGGTTATAGCTCTAAAATGGAGTTCCCAGTCTATACTCTCATTCATCAAAATTCCTGGGGTTGATTTACTAATGGCAAATAGAATGTTCACTTTGCATGGGAATTTTCCCTTTGCTTAGTGAGTGTAGTGAACATCTAATCACGTGCAAGGAAAAAAAAAAAAAAAAAAAACAAAAGCAAAAAAAAATAACTGTATTTGCAGCATAGCTTCACCTCATTCACTAAAGCTAAAGGAAATTTCTCTTGGAAACTGAAATTCCTCTGCAAGGTAATCAGACTATTTGGTCTTAGTAAATCTACTGTCATGACTCATGAGACATTTCCACAATAAAGGAACACATGGCCTTTTTTTCCTTCACTAAAATAATGAACATCAAGCTACAACTCTTTCCCTTCTCTTGAATTGTATGTACCCCTCCAAAGGATGCAAATATGGTGCGCTAATTAATTGCTTATTATACTCATCATTAGACATGTGTACGCTGGAAATGTTCCGTTTTAGTTTCGGATGCATTCGCTCATTGAAGAATTTTGTTTAGTCATATTCTTTATGTTGAACTTATTCTTTTTTTCGCAATTAGCTTTGTATCTTTGTCATTTCTTTCATATATTTGTTGGTCTGGGTGGATTAAAACATTTTCCTGGTTTTTGATGATTGATATATTTGATAAATTATTGAATCAGATGGATTCGAATCAGAAATATTCAATATTTTTGGACGCTAGTCCAACCCACCAAGAGATATGGCATGAGCTGATTGGACAATATCAACTGGTGCCATACACATCACAATTAGGAATGGAATGATCAATTTGTTATTCAAATCAGAATGTGAAAATTTTATTCATTTCCTCAAGGGCCAGAACTACTATCACATTATAGAAACAGTGAAGTGACCAGATTTGATTATTGCACCACATCCCTTAAAATTGCAAATATTCAATAGAGAAGATGGGACTTTCAGGGTGCATAGACATGAATACCACACATTAAAAGTTTTATATTATTTTTATTTCGTATTTTGGTAAACACAGGAAAGGAAAAAATACAGAAACATAAAAACAATTTCAATTCTAAGAATACCAACTGAGATTCAAACTTGGTTAGGTAAATGTAGAATACTCCCTACATGTTTTGCCCTCACGGGCTTCTTCAGGGAAGATTTTTTTGAGGAAATTTCTACCGCCAAGGCAGCCCTGGATGTGAAAGCTCACGGAGCTAGGAGAAAATGACCTAAAAAAAGATCTTAATTGGCCTACACTTCCAAATCAGTTGTAGAGGATATAATTGGCATCAGATATCATCTGTTAAATGCTTTAGAAGGCTATATAGGTATAACCGAACAAAGATCTATTTGACCTATACATTCACAACCATAAGAGAGGAAACAATGGACATCAAACACCCATCTGTTAAAAATTGCAATTCAAGTAGCAAGGAAAATGTAGGGAAAAGGATTTTAATTGAGGATCAATTTTCAATTCCACCACCAGATATCAGCAAAGGACAAAAGTCCAGACGATATTAGCTCCGTTCAGATCCAAAACAGCCTCCAAGATACTCAGTGTGCACTGGTGATTAGCACTTTCTTTCAAATATTTTTGACTTTTTGCTATTAAACATGTTCAGTAAATAAATTTTAAAAAATCACATTTAGGCATTAATTTTGGCCAAAATGTATTCTGCTACAGGTCTTTGCTAAAATAAAATCCCAATACATGTAAATTAATTGGTTTACGTGAAAGTTATAATGTCTACAAATGGCGTTCTATATACTGGGATTTTTTTTTATACTAGTATTGGCGGCGATCAACGACTTATAGCGGGACTGCGGCATGCATCCTGACACTGGGGGGAACTGACTTGGCATCACTGACATCCCCAGAGACACCAATACAGTGATCAGTGCTATTAAAAAGTGCTGTACTTGACTTTTTGGTATTAACCATGTCCAGTAAAACAATAAAAAATTAATTTCATCATAAATTTAGGCCAAAATGTATTCTGCTACATGTCTTTGCTAAAAAAAAAATCTCAATACCTGTAAATTAATTGGTTTACGTGAAAGATAGCATTTAAAAATTGCAGTATATATTGGAACTTTTTTTTTTTTTCACTAGTAATGGCGGTGATCAGCAACTTATAGCAGGACTGCGACGGGCATTCTGACACTGGGGGGAGCTGATTTGGTGACACCAATACAGTGATCAGAGCTAATAAAAAGCACTGACACTGTACTAATGGGACTGGGCAGGAAGGGGTTAATGTGGGGTGATCAAAGGGTTAACTGTGTTGTGTGCTGTTTTACTACATGGGCTGTGTCTGTGTTTCACTGTAAGCGTGCTGTTTTGTATGGCTCTGCTAAGAAGAGCCATAGAAAGCAGTATACAGGAGCTGACAGGGGAGAGATCTGTATTGTTTACGCACAGGTCTCTCCCCTGTCAGAGATACTCAGCGATCACTAGGTGCCAGCGAGTAATCACTGGCCGGGACCCGGTGATTGACAGCCGAGGCCGCAAATGGCGGAACTGCGAAATCACATATATATACATGCTTTTGCACACCCGTACCGCCCCGTAGCAGTATTTCTGCTATAGGGCGAAGGGGAAGTGGTTAATACACTTTATTCACAATACCTAGCTCTTTGGATTTTTATTCGGCAGTTGAATTTGAAAATGTGCTATAAACTGTAATAAAATCAAATAAAACATTTCAGCTACATTCACACCTCTACATTCTTCATGCAGTGTAGTTGCAATGTGGCATGTTCTAGATGAGCTTTATGTATGTCCTACAAGTGTTACCACTCCTCTAAGAAGATGCAATTTTCAGGAACCTGTGCCAAAGGTACAGCAAACAGAAGATGTTTTAAAACAAAAGAAGAGGTGTGAATGTAGCCTATTACCAAAGCAAAAGAGTCCACATGTTTACCTTTTGTATTCCAGTGGTACAGAATTAAAAAAAATACTATATGGAAGGAAGAAAATACTTTGACAGCAAACACTAACATGTCAAGACTAACATAACATGTCACAACCTGCAAAATGACAGAGTGTTTCTGAATCAATTACAGCTGCAGAACCTTTCAGTCAGAAAATCAGAATAGAACATCCAGTTTCCAATGACATTATTGCTGGCGCCAGTGTGCCTGTAATAGTAATAATCCCTTTTCACAAAAAAAACATCCCTTTTTATCCATGCCCTGGATTCTCTGAAGCATTCATTGTACTGCAAACTAAAATATGTTCCATGCTTTAATACAGCTCAAATGGTCTCATTTTGTGAAGATAGGGCATTTATTACACAGATTTTGTGCCTGTATTTCTTTGGATAAAGTAAAACCCCTTATTCCAGATGGGTCAAGGCCACTTATTTCTTTCAGGATATACATTAGTGTGGGATATTACCACAAATGGGTATGGATAACGGCACTGCAAAGCTTTCCTGTTACACAGAAATCACAGAAAATGTGAGCCTTCTCCCTTATAAATATATATATACTGTATACTGTGCTGTCAGAATCAGTTCATATCAATGAAGGTAAATCCTTTATAACACAGTTGTAAGGAAGTGAGCATAAAGAATTATTCATTTCAAAAGTTTATCGCATTTCGTATGATGTTTGTATTTAACCAATTGCACTTCCACACCTTTGTAGACCAGAACAATTTTTACATTGGGCTGTAAATTCAACATTAATTTTGCAATTACTTATAATACCAAAGTAATACATATATCATATTTAAAAATGCATTTTTTTTTGAGACAACGCTTTTTGTGAATGTAATCTCTCCCTAAATTTATTATTTGTATAGTTTAAAATCAAGCCGTATGTCAAGGCAGAAAAAAAAAAAAAAATTCATAGATCATTGCTGTATATGCACGTTTCTGCATGTTTTACCCTTTTAACCACTAGCCTACAGGGCACTTCCTGCACAGGCCAATTTCCAGCTTTCAGCGCTGTCACACTTTGAATGACAATTGCGCGGTCATGCAACACTGTACCCATATGAAATTTTTAGCATTTTTTTGAGACAGATAGAGCTTTCTTTTGGTGGCATTTAATCACCTCTGGGATTTTTTATTTTTTCTTAAACCAAAAACCACTGAAAATTTTGAAAAAAAAAAACGTTTTTTCTTAGTTTTTGTTATACAATTTTGTAAAAAAGTGATTTTTCTCCTTCACTGATGTGTGCTAATGAGGCTGCAGTGATGGGCACTGATAGGCTGCACTGATGGACACTGATAGGTGGCACTGATGGGCACTGATGAGGAGGCACTGGTAGGTTGCACTGATGGGCATTGACAGGCATCACTGATGGGCACTGAAAGGCAGCACTGATACATGACACTGATACATGACACTGATATATGGCACTGATAAGCAACACTGATGGGCAGCACTGACTGGCACTGATAGGCAGCACTGACTGGCACTGTTAGGCAGCACTGATAGGCGACACTGACTGGCACTGATAGGCGGCACTGACAGGCGACACTGACTGGCACTGATAGGTGGCACTGATTGGCATTGATAGGTGGCACTGATGGGTGACATTGAAAGGCAGCTCAGATGGGCACTGATATGTGGCATTGATGTGTACTGGTATGCATTGATATGTGGCATTGATGTGGCACTGATGGGCACTGGCACGTGGCATTGATGGGCACTGGCACTAATGAGCACTGACAGGTGGCACTTCTGGTGCCACACTGATCATCAGGGCACACTGATCATCAGTACCCTGATGATCAGTGTACATGTCCCCTCTGCGGGAAGCCGATTACCGGCTCTCCTCTCCTCTCGAGCTGTCAGCGTGACAGCTCGAGAGGAGAGAAATGCCGATAACCGGCATTTCCGTGCTTGCATGTGATCAGCTGTGATTGGACACAGCTGATCACATGACCGAGCCAACATCTTCGGCTCTTTCCGTTATCCGCTGTGTCCGAGGGACACAGCGGATCGGCGATCGCCGCGCTGCGCACTCCCTGAGCCACGCATGCGCAGTGGGAATGGTTTGACATCTTATGATGTCCTATCAGAACGAGAGAACCACCTTGCGCCCATCATTGTACTATAGGGCGGGCGGAAGGTGGTTAAACACACTACAAGTAAAGAAAAATAAATATTGATATGCCAGAAATGGTTTTCTCCAACTTTCCTTTTTGACATTACAACATAATATACTTTTGGCTCTGAATTCCTAAGCACATGGTGTCAGCCCTGCCTACTTAATTTCTGATTTGTTACAAACACAGTCCTCTCCTCACCACCCCCCCCCCCCCATATCTCCATAACCCCTCCTTGTACATAGGCAGAGAGCACTGGAGTTATTAGCCAACAAGATTTCTGACAAATCACCAGGTATTTTATGCACTTTGAAAACAGATTCTGTATAGCAAAACACTTTCAATGGTTTGTTTAGAAGACCAAAAAGGAGCAATTGGGAGTTGTCCATTGTTAAGGTTTACATAATCTTTAAAAAAAAAAAAAATTAAAGACACTTTTTTTTTTTTCTACTGGTAGACTTAAAATATATATATATAGATATCTATATATATATATCTATATATCTATATATAGATATATATATATCTATATATATATATAGATATATATATATATCTATATATAGATATATATATATATATATATAATATATATATATATATATATATATATATTATGCTGTCCTACGGTTAGCCAACAGCCAGCTAACAAAACTGACAGAAGCAGCGTTTGTTTAATTCCAAAACTGAATTTACTTCTGTGAATAGTTCTGTAAAACTGCAATACAATTGCATAAACTGAAGTTACAATATATGTATCTAGTGCAGCACTAAAAAATGGGTAGAGCCTACGTGCTGACGTCACGCCGCCGTGTCCGTGACTAGGATCGGCAGCCATCTTGGTATGTGAATTCACCCAGGTCTGTTCATCTTTCCACGTGGAATGTTTTATACCTATTTTAATAAAAGTACAACACTATATATCGCTTTCTGGGCTCTGTGTGGTGAGCTTTCTTCCTAGGATAAGTCCTTTTGGCTAATCTAAGCATTTCAACTGAGTGATCAGTGATTACTGCTACTATACCAGTAACTTTCTGGTGAGTGCATAGTGGTGGTGGAATGTTTCACTGGATCCCATAGCACCTGTTTGGAATTGAACACGTTGCTGCTGTGTCTTTTAGTGCCGCTGACACATTATTTGTTCACCTAATGGATTGTTCGTTTGTCATATTGACATATACTTGATGGATTTTATTTGTTCATTGCTTCACTGAGCTATATGTTATGAATTTTGCACTTACGTCCCACTGAAAAATATTTTATTTAATTTACACTGGTGTTTTATTTGATGATTTAACCTCCCTAGCGGTATTCCCGAGTGTAGCTCGGGGTAAAATGTCTGTACCAAAAGCAGTAACCCCGAGCTACACTTGGGCTTACCATGCGGCGCTGCATAGAGAGTCCCTGCAGCACTTGCCTTGTCCTTCGCTCCCGTGATGTGTCCCCTGCAGCGTCCCTGGCCATCTCCTCCGGCTGATGCCAGCATCCGGCTCCTGTGTTCCGGTCCCTGTGACGTACGGGCGCCGCTGGCGGCGGAAAATTTGAAAATGTTTAAAAAAATGTCATTTTTTTTTTCAAAACAAATTTTACATAGTAAAACATTGCTGTTTCAACCCATTTCACATACATTTTGTCCCTAGTGCTCCTTCCTGTCCCCTCTCTGCATTTTGAATGTTCTTTCTGCCTGGAAACTTAGAAAAGTCCATGGCGTCCAAAAAGTGTCCCTTTAGGTCAAAAGCGGTTTTAGACCGACTAGAGAACAGCGATAGTAAATCAGAACCACTTGCAGAATTGAGTGATAATGATTCGTGGAGAAATTCGTCATCAGACACTGAAAACAATTTTGCGACTTTGCTCAGCGATGTGCGAACTTGGCGCTATATTTCAAATTTCAGTGTTTTTGGTTTGATTATATTATTGAATTAAATGTAATATTATTATATTATTATTTTTTATGATTATTTATTAAATTATAATTTATGATTTTGTGTTGCAAATTTTATCATACCCGGGATGTTTAATAGACTCTTGTTCGGACAGATTTCAGTGAGTTATTCCTAAATATTACAGCCTACAATAAAAAAAACTACATATTTCCATGCAAAATAATGGTACCGCTTTCAGCACCAAAAATCTGAAATAATCATACCGCTAGGGAGGTTTAATATTTATATCATATAAATCATTTTTTAGCGCTGCTCTATATACTTATATGCTATTGTCACTATCTCTTTTGCTAGCTGCTTTTAAGTTTCCGTAAAAGCGCTTGCCACATACTTGTATTTATGAAGTTACAATATGCTTGTAGACATGTCTCTTGCAAATGCATACAAGGAACACATTTCTTACAAACCACTACCAACAAATCACATTAAATATATATTATATGATCTAGAACATATAGGAACTGATTTACTAAGGAAATAAACACGTGGATAGAAGAACAAGTGCATAGGTAATAAAACCCAGCTGCAATGAACTGAGCAGAACATGTTCCAAGGTGCTTTTAAGTATTTAAGCTCTTCAGAAGGTTACTATGGCATGCATCTGCAGATCCTTTTGAGAAGGGGATCAGAAGACAATATGGAGGAGATTTTCTAAAGCTGGTTCTCTCAGAATCTGATGCAGCTGTGCATGGTAGCCAATCAGCTTCTAAACTCAGCTTATTAACCACTTGCCGCCCTGCCACTGCATATATACGTGTGCAGGGCGGCACTGGGGCGCAAAAGCATGTTTTAAAACCCGCCGACTCTTGGGTGACACCATTTGATCCCGGAGGGATCAATCATTCGATTTCAGCCAGTGATGTCTGGCTGAAATCAGATGATCGGTCCCTGTCCTATCCTGTCCTGTGTTGACAGTTATACAGGACAGGATATGATGTCATTCTTCTCTGCCTGGACACATTCCATTCCAGACAGAGAATAAGACATACAAACAGTGAGTAAAACAGCACATACCAACAGTTAGAACACTCTAGGACACATTTAACCCCCTGATTGCCCCCCCCCCAGTTAACCCCTTCACTGCCCTGTCACAAGTGTCACTGATCAGTGAACCGATTTTTACTGATCACTGTATCAGTGTCGCTGGCGACTTCCGATAGTGTTAGCGCCCCTCCCAGATTGCCCGCTAATACACCAGTAATCCCGTCTAACCCCTTGATCGCCCCCCCCCTTGAGTTAACCCCTTCACTGCCCTGTCACCAGTGTCATTCATCAGTGAACAGATATTTACTGATCACTGTATCAGTGTCGCTGGCGACTTCCAATAGTGTTAGTGCCCCTGCTGGTTGTAGGTTGTTTGGTAGGCAAATGTTGTTTTGTGTTTAGTATCTGGCTTTCACATTGGCTCCTTTAGGATTCTCAACTATTGGTGTGGGTCTTTTTCCTTAATAAAGCTTCTTAGATGTTATTGCTGTATGTGTCCCCTCATTTCTTTTCAAAATAGGATGTGATGGGAGACTGCAATGAAGACAGACAAAAAAAAGAAAGAAAACTAATTCTTAGTAGAGTGAGGAAAAGTTAGAACTTCTGTCTTTATTGCTGTTCCTGCTTTTCTTTCCTTGTGATAACCACATCCACCATTTCTTGTATTCCACCATACTTATACAGCATTATAGAGTTCAGCTGGACATACAGCTGTCAAACCTTCACATTTTGCCTCAAAAAACTACTAAAGCTGCTTTTCTTGTATCCTTAATGTATGCCACATTTTTATCAAGGTAGACACAGGGAAAAGGTAAGGAAAGGTGTTTGTGTGTGTGTGTGTGTGTGTGGGGAGCATATGAAGAAAAATAAGTTTAATGAAAGCATTATTCTCAGATGCTATTGCCAACTTGTTGACAGTTTCAGTGGGTACACTTTTCAGTAGGTCCCTCCTTTGCAGTTGCATTTATATGTTTTATATGTATGTTGTTTGCTTCAATATTGTAAGGTACCATCTGCACTGCACTGTCCTCAAAGTTAGATTTTATAACAATTCTACTCTCCTGAATATATGTGGTAAGAGTCAATGATGCAGGCCATTGCAGGTGTTGAATTACAGCTGTATACATTTACCAATAAACTTGTGAGCAGTCATTTAATAGACCATGTGATGGAACTGCTTGGCAAGGGTCTGCTTTATGTTGCGATTTCCCCATATAGCTGGATTATTGAGTCTTGGTAATTACAAACATAATTGTTCTGCTGAGGATTTCCTTTAGATGTCATGACCTTTTCCTGATTTGAACAGCTGTAACAATGCTAATAGATTTTTCATGGCTTTCAGAGTTGAATGAAATAGAAGATACCCTACTGACCACACCCACGCTAACCACACACACATAATCACACTTCTATTTGTAGACACAGCCACAAAATTGTGCCTTATTTTAAACATGTCCACAAACAATTGGTCACAGACTTTTGGAAGAAGAGGCAGACATTCAAGGTATAAAGAGAAAATATACAGATTTTAAATAAGGGGCAACACAATCTGCATGCATAGTTAGGAGGTACACCTTGAAGGTATAGAGCAGAAAAATTCAGCACATGCAGTGTGAAAGTTGGTGTTGCTTCATGGTTTAATGGCTTGTGTGGGAGCAGGAAAACCCCAAGCATTGTTGTCATTGTCAGTAATAGTAACCTCCAGCATTACCGTCATTGGCAGCAATAATAATAACCCCCAGCACTGATGTAAGTGGTTGCAATGGCAACTTCCATATTGTTTTCAGGTAAACTTTATGTTAATCAGCAGACACTTGGGGGTTATATCCACGACAGGTCTTTGGTGTTGTTTATCAA